TAGGCTTGAACACCATAGCACCGTCACAACCCATAGCTCTTGTTTTCCCCAAGCGTAATTTTGGTAAAAACGCACGCTCATTCTGCCCAGGCTGGTATCGCGGGAGACCATGGCTCGAATATTCAGCAAAGCTTGATGCGTGCTTTTGTTTCCCATGTCGTAAATTTGGCGGGAACAATGACAGGGATTTGGTTTTTACAAAACAAGGATTTAATAATTGGAAAACGGCATTGGAAAAGGACAAGGGACTCACAAAGCACGCATCAAGTCAATGCCACATAAAAAATGCAAAAGCCTGGTCTGAAATGTCCCAAAGAGAGGCCACAGGGGAAACTATTGGTAATTTATTAGGGCCAACACAAATGGAAAAAAATAGATATTATATAAAAACAATTGGAGAAGTAGTTCAGTTCCTAGCAGTAAATGAACTTCCACTTCGTGGCAGTGTGGAGAGCTCAAAGGAAGATGGTTTCTCTGCAGGACTGTTCTTAAAAATGGTTGACTACACACTAGCAAAGGACCCCAAATTTTATGAAATAAACAAACACATCCCACTAAATGCAAAATACACCTCTCACAACATACAAAACGAAATTATTGATACTCTGGCCAAAATGGTATTAAAAAAGATCAAAGATAATTATGACAAAGCAGATTACGCTGGGTTTTGCATTAAAAGTGATGGAACTAGGGACAGATGCAATGTGGAGAATCTGTCCGTCATGGTTAGATTTGTCTCTAAAGGCATTCCAGAGGAACACCTGATTGGTCTGCTTGACCTCAGTCAGTTAAATGCTGAATTTATTACCACCCAAATTCTTGAGCATCTTTCTGACTCAGGCTATAAAGCAGCTGAAATTATCAGTCAGTGCTACTGCTATGATGGAGCTGCTGTCATGAGTGGAGTCAGGGGTGGGGTTCAGGCCTTATTGCAAAAGAAGGTAGGAAAGGATATTCCTTATATCCACTGCTATAACCACCAGCTGCACTTGGCAGTGGTCCATGCAATGCAAGCAGAGCCATGTGCAAAAACCTTTTTTGATCTATCAGGATCACTGCACTCATTTTTTCACCGTCATTATGTGTCACAGAACTATAATGTTCCCTCCCTTAAACGACTGTTGGAGATCAGGTGGACAAGCCATCATGATGTGACCAAGTGCCTTGTGGAGAATCAGGATGCTATTATGAGTATCCTGTCAGAAGTTGCAGAGGACAGAGCCGCTGCTATTGATATCTGTACAGAGGCATCAGGGTTATTGATAATGTTAAGGAGGCATAATTTCTTTGAAATAGGAAAATTTCTCCTAAAAGTTCTGGGTTCGTTGACGTCTGCAAATGTTATGCTGCAGGCTCATTCTGTTGACCTGTGCTGTGCTTCAGAAGTAGTCAGTGCATCTCTGCGGGCTTTGAAGCAGATGAGAGATGAGGAGAGCGAGGCATTAACCAGCATGCCTGCACCAGGTGCTAAAAGAAAGAGAACAATGAGCTCACTGCTCACAGATAGTGTCACTATGTCCACTGTAGGCCATGCAGACGACTCCATGACTCCTTGCCAGGCTCTGAAGAGAGCTCTTCTCAACATTTTGGACATAGCCATTGTAGAGATGGAGACAAGATTCTCCAAAAGTAATCTTGATCTCATGAAAGCAGTTAATTGCCTTCAACCTCAATCTCCCTCTTTTCTGGATGTTGCCATGTTAAGTCCTCTGCAAAAAATGGCGGGAAGTGACAGTGACAAACTTTCCAATGAGATTCTTGTAGCAAAAATAATGTTGGAAAAAGAATTTAAAAAGACTGATGATTATGGCAATGTAGAGTTTGTAGACCTCTCCACCGTTTGCAAATATCTACACGGTTATAAGAATGCCTTTCCTCAGCTCCATCGCATGTATGTGACCTCCCTT